ATATGTAGAAAAGAAAGGGTATAAGGGGAGGAGCACCCTGTCTCACATTCAGCTTTGATGTCTTGTTGAGATGAAAATACCACATTCAGTAAAGAGAAAATCTTTATGTCACCCTGACTCTCATTTTCTCAACCTACTAACCTTCAGTTGGGTCGGGAGAGCAGACACTCCCCACTGCTGAGGTATTCAGAACAGCTCCACAGTGGCAACAACCCAGCTGTCTTAACGAGTGAGTGGTTAAACTGGTACGTCCATGCCTAGCACTACTACGCAGCAATGGGAAGAAATGAACTGTCCTCACACCTCAGTTGGGTGAATCCAAAGGGCATTATGCTGAATGAAAGTCAATCTCAAAAGGTCACCTATGGTGTATTTCCATTTATATGTATTATTTATATGTCTCTAAGTGACAAACTTGTGGAGATAGATCAGTGGTTGGTAGGGGTAACAGATGGTGAGGGTGTAGATGTGACTGTAAGGGGTCACGTGAGGAGATCTTCGTGATGATGGAACAGCTAGGTGCCTTTTTTTAAATAGTTCTGTATATTAATTGTGGTAATTACAGGAATCTTCCCATGCAATAAAACGACATAGGACCGTACACGTCTTTTCTACCCGTCACTTTTCCAGTTTTGATAATTGTGCTATAATTCTGTACGATAGGACCAATGGAGGAAATTGGGTGAAAGATTTTCTGAAAAATTTTAAAAAGATTTTGAGAGAAAGATGGGGTAGAGCAGAGGGAGAGGGACAAGCAGACTTCACAGTGAGCACAAGCCCAACATGGGGCTTGATCCCAAGACCCTGAGATCATGATGTGAGCCAACATCAAGAGCTGGATGCTTAACCGACTGAGCCATGAGGGCACCCCAGATTTTCTGAATTTTAATGACCACATACTGAAACCATAATATGCTTTGGACATACCACAACTGTCCTAGAGGGGAGTCTTAAATTTGGTTAGGAGGTTTTGAATAGAAACAGACAACTGCACATATCTTAGATCCCTTCCAAGTCCAAGATGTAATAATATATTCTTAGGCAGGATGAAGAAAAGAGTGACCACACTATAGCTCTGTGAGAAAACTGAATTCAATTAAGTGATTTTTTGGAAAGCTCAAGGAAATCAGTACAGAACTCAAAAAATGTACCTTGATTTATTCAGGAAACACTTTCCAGGTACCTACTAAAAGCCATTCAGTGTTAGAGTTGAAGAGGTAAAGATGAGTAAACCGAATAATACTTGTTTTTTTATACTAGAATGTAAGCTCCATGAGAACATGAATTTTTACTTGTTTTATTCATGTATCATCTGTAATGTTTAGGCCGGTATCAGGTATATAACAGATGCTATGTAAAAATTGATGAATGAATGGCTTATCCTAAAAAGCTTAGTCTGATAACCAAGATCGATACGAAATAGGAACAAGAACATGTGATAGATGCTATCATAGATTCCCCCCCACCTTTTCTCCTTCCTAAAACCCCTTTGTTCATTATTAAGTAGTGTAGTCTCGTTGTGAGTTTTGGTAGCACGGGGGTTGTGTGTGCACAATTAAACTTTAGCAGCCACCACTTCGGGGCTGGCTTCCGGCCCCCATTTCCCAACTGGTTACGTTGGGATGGTACTCCAGCTGAGCTGCTTCTGGTGATGCCTCTAAGAGTTAGGCTTGTGCTAGTCCTCATGGCGCTTTCTTTTACGCAAGGTGCTGGACAACATGGGGCTAATAATGCCTGCCCCCACTCCCCATCCCCCTCCCACAGTTGAAAATCCCATAACTTTTGACTCCCCCAAAACTTAACCTGCTGTTGACTGGAAGCCTCAGCTCTGACAAATAGTTGATAGCCTCATATTTTAAAAAATTTATTTATTAATGAGAGATACAGAGAGAGAGAGAGAGAGAGAGAGAGAGGCAGAGACACAGGCAGAGGGAGAAGCAGGCTCCATGCAGGGAGCCCAATGTGAGACTCCATCCCGGGTCTCCAGGATCACTCCCTGGGCCGAAGGCAGGCGCTAAACCTCTGAGCCACCTGGGCTGCCTGACAACCTCGTATTCTATATGCTACCTATACTATATGCTGTATTCTTATAAAGTAAGCTGGAGGAAAGAAAATGTTAAAATAAGAGAGTATATTTACGGCACTGTATGGGTATTTATTTTAAAACATCCTCCAGGAGGGGCCAGGATGGGGGCGGGGGGGGGGGTGTTGTCGGCGGGTCTGGCCCCAGGGTGGTGCTACTCTATGGCCTGGTGGTCTCCAACGCAGCCTGGAGGTGGAGGACAGCTGACCCACCTGCCACATAGTGCTGGCTGTAACCATCAGCAGCTTCGGGGGCAGGTCAGCGCTGGACCAGGAGGGACCCAGGGCAGCCTGGAGCCCGGCCCACAGGGGACCCTCTGGATGTGTTCTTCTGCTACAGGTCTGCCTCTACCCACAAGCCCTGGGCGCTCAACTGGACCACCCTGTTGGCACATGAGCAACCTGCAGCCCTGTCTGGTTCTAGGGCTCCCAGGGCTGCGGCCCCCATGGGCCTCCCCTCCCTGGGTTCTCAGAGGGCAGCAAGTGTGACTTCTGCACCACTGGCTGTTGATTATGCTGTGGAGGGGGGTGGGCAGCTAGAAGTAAATACCCTGTGGCCTTTGCCATCAGCCTTAATCCACCTGTAAGTGGACCTGTGCAGCTCAAACCATGCTGTTCAACGGTCATCTGTATTTTAAAATGGGATCTGGGCTAGTGGCAGTAGGTAAATGAGGCGGCGGCAAAAATTTGTAAGTTTAAGACTTGTATAATAATAATAATAATAATAATAATAATAATACAGTTATTTAAGAATAGAAGGAGGACTCTGAGGGAGGACTCTCAGCATGGGACCCCATCTGACCTGGGTCCTGCTGTGGGGAGTCCTCACCTGGGCTAGAGCTCCACTTGCTTGAGTGGTCCTCTGTTGTTCAATCTCGTTGGGACGTCCTGTCTCCCAGGATGGGCATGGGCAGCTGCCTGTGCAACTTACCCAGGGAGTTGGGTCGGAGGGGGTCTGGCCGAGCCTTCGTTGAGGCATATAGAGCCTTCGCCTCTTTGCTGCAGAGTAGAGGGATTGAAGGGGGATTATTTCCATTGTCTGGAGATGTGTTGCCTTATCTTCTTTGAGGTTATAGGAAGCACACTGGCTTAGTTCACACCAGAGGTTTGTTGTAAAGAATGTGTGTCAGTTGGCCTTCATGAAAATTCAACAGTGTCGCAGACACTAGAGTGACTTCAGCCTTCACCTTTGTCCTCCAGTGCACTTGTTACCAACTCTAGTGTTCCCACCATTTTGATAAGTGAGCTCATCTGCCCTTCCTCTCTGTTTCTGTGGTGATAGAACTCTCCAGTGCATTCTTAATTTCTCTTAACATCATGCCTATTAAAGAAAAGGGTCAGAAGATGGCGTTCTCTGGTGGTTTATTATCCAGTTGCGTGAAGCTCTCGTGAGTTACCTCAAAGGCGCCTTCAGTGGACTCTGGGTTGGAAGCTGGTTCCTGGTCATGGGCCTGGGGAACCTGAGTTTCATGGTCTCATCATCGAAATTCTAGTGATTCACACTGAAAGAGCGGTCTGTGGTCATTTCCTTAGAACCTGTGTGGCCTTGGTGGATCTTCAAAGCATCGGTTATTACTCCTTACCGTCTCTGGGTCTCTGGGAGCTTTCAGATTGAAGAAGTTGAAGGTGCTGCACATACATGGGATGTGTTTCTGATTCTCAAAAGGAGTGGCCCACAATTAATCAAAACAAAATAAAATGATCTTTCCTTGTCCTGGTTCTACAACTTTTTGTAGAAGTCAGTGTTATAAAAATGAGTAGCAACTCAGGTGTATGTATTATACTTGTGATTTTTCCTCCCTTTTAGTAGATTTCTATGGCTTTTGCTATAATTAATGAGGTCTTACTAAATAAGAAAGAAAGGATCAAAATGTATACCTGGAAGGTACACATGTAACCAAACTGAGTAAGATTTAAAAAGGGGAAGGAACGGATAGTTGTGACCCGCACCCCACCTAATACACAAGGAGGTGGAGTACGCGTCTCCTCCAGTTGCTCTAGCTGGGATAGTGAGCTGAGATCCAGAGACCCTCACGAGGATTGTGTAGGAAGCCTTCTTTGGGGAATGCATATTTTCCCAGAGGCCAGGTAGCTGAAGCATGACATTTTTGGGGGGAGGGGGGTCGGTGTACCTACTTGATCTTCTGTAAAAAAAAAAAAAAAGGTAAGAATACTTGAGACCACGATAAACTGGTTTTAATGTTTGTTGAAAGACATGGGGAGTCAGATGCTAGTTTTAAGAGGGATTGCCATGCGATTAGCATATCCTGATTTCATCAATACCTGTTTCAACTTAGCTTCATGAAAATTGTTATTTTTCTCATTTTACCAAAAACTAGTGAAAACTTAAAAATTTTTTTTTGAATTTATTTTAGAGGGAGAGTGTGAATGAGGTGGGGAGGAGCAGAGGGAGGGACACAGCTGACTCCCCATTGAGTGGGGAGCCCCACAGGGGACTCGATTCCAGGACTCCCAGATCATGACCTGAGCTGAAATCAAGAGTTGAGCGCTTAACCACCTGAGCCACGCGGGTGCCCCTAGTGAAAGCTTCCTGATGGTTACGGGGCAGCAGAGATGCAGGAGGCAGGAATGACAAGAAGGCTCTCGTGGGTCTGGATGAAAGATGTTGACAGGATTAATAACGACTGAGCAAGAAGGAAATTCTTAGAGGAAGAGTCTTTAAAGCTCCAGGGCGCTTATGTTCTGGAACTACATTCTCAGAAGGCTTCTGGTTGGTTCATCCCGGTGAGGTCAGGTCGACAGAGAGCAGTCAGCTTGCTGTATCTAAGAGACCTGGCTTTGTTATAAAACACCAAATCTCTGTGGTTCGTGGCTGTCATCTACGTAGCAGGAGGGGAGGGTTCTCTGCTGTTTTCGAGTTGCCTTGTCTCTGACGTGACCTTATTCTTTCCCTTCAGGTTGCTTGACCGGGGCCGTGAATCTCAAGTCCAGCAACCGGACCCCAGTGGTCCAGGAGTTTGAAAGTGAGTGCAGGGGAGCCTCCCAGGGGAACGGGCACCACCTAACGGGCACCGGCAGCCTCGCAGCCAACTCCGCCCATGCCTGCCACCGAACAGGGCCACACAGATGTTCGGGGGTGGCTGGTTCCTTGGCCTTGCCTTGCGCGCAGTGTGCCATGTGCCCTGTGTGGCACAGCGTGCCTCCGCGGGCCAGCAGGGAAGTGTGCTGGTTCTGCACCCGCCAGTACCCAGCGCCTGCCTGGCTTTGTAGGCACAGAGCAGCTTGCTTACACACAAGCGTGTGTGAGGGGCACGCGTGTGCTCTGATTAGTAAAAGTCCTTGCTTAGTTGTCTTTGTTATTTTTCTGGCTAAAATTCATCTTTTCTTAAAGTCACTTGGAGCCTGGAGGTGGATTTTTTTTTTTTTTTTTTTTTTTTAAGGAGATGGATTTTTTGACCCACATGCAAGACTACCTAAAATGAGCCATAGCTGCAGGGTCCAGGTACACAAGTGATCATAAAATTGTTTCACAGTCTCTGAGAGTTCTTTTTTTTTTCTCATTAGGTGTGGAACTATCCTGTATCATTACGGATTCACAGACGACTGACCCCAGGATTGAATGGAAGAAAATTCAAGATGACCAAACCACATATGTGTTTTTTGACAACAGAATTCAGGGTATGATCCTCTAATCCGCTCCTTTGTCCACAAGGGCCAGGCATACACCTGTAGCTCAAGACGGTCCTCCGAGTGGTGCTGCATCTGTAGCCAGGATTGTTGTTTGGTCTGGTTCAGTTTGTTTCACTTCTGGAAAAGTCCAACATGGCCAAGTAATGAGAGTAGTACCCTGCCCCTCCCTGCCCCTGTCATCCAGCTTCAACAGGCATCACCTCTTTAACTGTGGTTTGAATCTGTCTGTAGCCCATCCTGTTGAGGTATCACGGTGAACATTTTCCTAGGCCATCCTCTTACCGTGTGCTCCATGACATTTGTGATACCAGCTGCGTGAGTCAATCAGAAGGATCATGAGGAACAGCATGGAGACAGGTGTTTGCTGAGCACCTACTGTGTGCCAAGCTTCCCACATTGAGAAAGCATTTGCTAGAACAGAGGTCAGCATAGAGTGTCTCTGATCCCATGAAGTAGGGCAGGGCAGGTGGTGGGAAAGGCTTCCTGGGAGTGACATCTAGGCTGAGCTAGGAAGCCGGTTAACCAGGCCAGATGCTGAGGGGTGGGGTGGAGGAAGGTCGTGGGCCAGAAAGAAGGCTGTGTGTAGGGATGTGGAAGCAACAGGCAGCTGGGCTTAGGGAAACTCCACGCTCTCCATGACAGCTGGGACTAAGGAGGGGAGACGGGAGGACTCCACACACCAGGCGGGCATGCCACCAGGGCAGGCAAGAAGCACTGAATGCCCGGCAAGAATGGACCGGATCTTGAGGGTCCGCAAAGATTTTTTTTTTTTCGCAAAGATTTTTTTAGAGGGAAGGGAGATGATTTCATTTATGCTTTAGAAAGACTGATGTGGCTACTTTGTGGAGGAGACTGGGGATGGGGAAAACCCAGGAGTTCAGCAAGAGTGAGAATTCAGAATTTTTTTGCAGAAGCCAGAAGGGAGCTGCTGATGGTGGGAGGTGAGGTCGAGGCAGCATCGAGAGAGATGGGGAGGGGTTGCTAGGAGCAGGTGTGGCACGGAGGGAGAGGGAGACGCTATTGATGGCGGGCAGCGGGACCTGGCCTTCCCTCTGCCAGGACGCCGGGGCCCCACAGCTCCTAGGGTGGCCTTGGAGTCCACAGAGAGGGTGATATCTGGAGCTTCAGAGGAGAGGGCAGAAGTAGTGGAAACAGCCTGATCCCGCAGTCTTACTGCTTTATGTCCCCAGCATCATCAGAAGTTACAGGCTCTTAAAATCATTTTTCAGGGGGCCCCTGGGGGGCTCAGTGGATTAAGCGTCTGCCTTCGGCTCAGGTCATGATCCCGGGGTCCTGGGACTGAGCCCCACGTCGGGCTCCCTGCTCGGCGGGCGTCTGCTTCTCCCTCTCCCTGTACTCCTCCTCCTGCTCGAGCTCTCTCACATGTACGTCTTCTCACTCTCTCTCAAAAAAAAAAAAAAAAAGCCTCTTTTGAAAATCGTGTGTTTTCCTCACCAGTATCTCGTCCACCTCTTAATTTTGGAGAGATGGAAATGTTTTTCTCAGGAAACAAGTCCATTTTCTGTGACAACTGAGGCTGCTGCTGATAAAGCCTGTATGTACCCTTGTGATCATCAGAGAAAACTAGGTGGGAATCTTCTTAAAGAACTTCCTGTTTCTGGGAATCCAATACCTTACTCTTAGCCAGAAGGATGGGGAAAGTGTTTACACACAAAATATGAAGGCTGCAGGAAAATTTGAATCTTGCTGGACCTCTTCTCTTGCCTCAAGTCACAACTGTGCCAAAAGCATCCTGATAGATTTTTGTGAACTTTCTCATTGAAGCAGGAGTCACATGCAGTGTTACATTAGGTTCAGGCACACCCCGCAGTGATGACACAGATCCGCACGTCACTTGGTGCTCACTGTGAGATGTGGAGTCACCATACAGCATTATTACAGTATCATTGACTTTATTTCCTCTATTGTACTTTTTATCTGTGACTTATTTTGTAGTTGCATGTTTGTTTCTCTTGATTCCTCTTCACCTATTTCACCCTTCTACCCACGCTGTCCCCTCTGGCATCCACCAGTTTGTTCTCTGTATTTATTAATCTCTTTTTGTTATGTTTTGTATTTTAGATTGCACATAAAAGGGAAATCCCATGACACTTGCTTTCTTTGTCTGATCTCATTCACTGAGCATATACTCTCTAGGCCCATCTATGTTGTCACAGATGGCAAGATCTCATTCTTTTTTTTATGATTGCATAATACTGTCAATAACACATATATGTATATACACACCTACCATATCTTTGATAGATTCTTATTTACTGTTACCTGGTAGAAATTCTAATCCTCCCCTAATGGCTACTGGATAACAAACCTTCGTATTAGAAAATGCCTTTGGAAATGTTCATCTTTCATCTTAAGCATTTTTGTTTTTATTATATTATGGTAATAAATCCTTCTTGTTCTTGCCACCAGTCAGCAGGTTCAGTAATAATTATTTTCTATTTTGTGTGTCATTTTTTTTCTACCTCCTTCCCTTATTTGTCATTTTTTAGGTTCTTCATGCTTCTTTGAAAGAGTTACCATCTTTTTTTTTTTTAAAGATTTTTTAAAATTTTTATTTATTTATGTTAGTCACAGAGAGAGGCAGAGACACAGGCAGAGGGAGAAGCAGGCTCCATGCACCGGGAACCTGACGTGGGACTCGATGCCGGGTCTCCAGGATCACGCCCTGGGCCAAAGGCAGGCGCCAAACCGCTGCGCCACCCAGGGATCCCAGAGTTACCATCTTTTTATACTTTAAAAGTTTTAAGGGGCAGCCTGGGTGGCTCAGCCATTAAGCGCTGCCTTTGGCCCCCGGCATGATCCTGGGGTCCCGCAATCAAGTCCCACGTTGGGCTCCCTGCAGGAGCCTGCTTCTCTCTCTCTCTCTCTCTGTGTCTCTCATGAATAAATACATAAAATATTAAAATTTATTTTTTTAAATGAGATGTAATTCATATACCATAAAGTTCATATTTTTAAGTGTATACTTCAGTAGCTGTTAGTATAGTCAACAGAGATGTGCAACAGAGCAGTATAGTCACTGCTTTCAAATTACAAAACATTTCCATCAACCCCAAAAGAAACTGCTAGTCTTTAGCAGTTACTCCGCTTCCCCTTTATCTCCACCTCCTGGCAACCACCGATCTACTTGGTCTCTCTGGATTTGCCTATTCTGGACACCTCATAGATGGAATCATGCAACGAGTTGTCCTTTGTGACTGACTTCTTTAACTCAGCATGTTATTTTCAAGGTTCATCCACTGTACAGCATGTGTTAGTACTTCATTCCTTTTTATATGGATGAAGAATATTTCATTGTAGGTATTTCATTCACTTTTTTTAAAGATTTTATTTATTCATGAGAGACACGGAGAGAGAAAGAGAGAGAGAGAGAGAGAGAGAGAGAGAGAGAGAGAGAGAGGCAGAGGGAGAAGCAGGCTCCATGCAGAGAGCCTGATGTGGGACTTGATCCCGGGACCCCGGGGTCACGACCTGAGCCAAAGGCAGATGCTCAAACCCTGAGTCACCCAGGCATTGTTTTATTTTCTTTGGAGAAATGTCTACTCAATCTTTGTTATTTTTAAACAGGTTATTTGTCTATTTATTGTTGAGTTGCAAATTCTTTATATATTCTGGATACTAGTCCTTTGTCGGGTCCATGATCTGCAGATACTTTCTCCCATTTAGTGGATTGTCTTTTCAAACTTGCACGTCCTTTGAAGCATGAGACTTTTAAAATTTTTTATGAAAGTCCAGTGAAAGCCAACACGCCTTTTTTTTTTTTTTTTAAGTTTGTGATTTTGGTGCCATTTCTAAGAAATCATTGCCTCATTCAAGGTCATGATGATTTATGTCTATGTTTTTAACTAAGAGTCATACTGTTAACTTTTTTTAAAGATTCCATTTATTTATTTGAGAGAGAGCATGTAAGAGAAAGCATGAGCAGAGGGGAGGGCCAGAGTGACAGGGAGAAGCAAACTCCATGCTGAGCAGGGACCCTGACACGGGACTCGATCCCAGGGCCCCTGGATCACGACCTGAGTGGAAGGCAGATGCTTAACTGACTGAGCCACCCAGGCGTCCCCAGATGTTAGCTCTTGTAGGAAGGTCTTTGTTGTATGTGGTGTGAAGTAGGAGTCCAGCCTCATTCTTTTGCATGTGGAGATCCAGTTATCCCAGCACCATTTATGAATATTGGTTGTTTTTTAATGTAGCTTGATTTTTTTTCTCTTTTAATGGGAAATCCTGGCTGGGAATGCTGAGAAGAAAATGAGGTCCCTGCTTTAACAACAGAGACCCATGTAACGAGTCCTCTTACACGCCAGGCACAGTGCCCTCAGCTCCCCTCTCTTGGACAGGAGCAGACCCAGAAGCTGGTGTGCCGTCTACTCATTGAGGCATTAAGAAGCAGCACTAGCCCCGGAAGCCGCCTTCTTCAGATGGCAAAGATGTTTTTAAACACTGTTTTTGTGTCTGTATCCTCTTTTCTGTAGGAGATTTGGCAGGTCGTGCAGAACTATTGGGGAAGACCTCCCTCAGGATCTGGAACGTGACCCGGACAGATTCAGCCCTTTATCGCTGTGAGGTGGTTGCTCGAAACGACCGCAAAGAAATTGATGAGATTGTCATTGAGTTAACTGTACAAGGTAGGAACTCACATGAAGTTAACACACTCCCCCCTCTCAGGCCTCATGAGTCTGTCCATAAAAAAGATTGGAAGGGGAAAAATAAGAATTAAAATAAAAGATCAGCTCTTACTCGTTCCCTCTAGAGCTACATCCCTCGGGGCCTCACGGGACTTAGGCAGTGGGCGGTTGTGGGCGCTGAAACTGCCTGAGCTGGGGTGCAAGGTGAGAAGGGAAGGGGAGCTCCAGCCACTCCCCTCACCAGTTGTAGAAGGCACTCCTCAGGAGGGTGGAGGCGTCAGAAACGTGCTGTGGGGTTATCTGTGGGGGGTGAGCTGGGGGCAGATGCGGAGGCAGATCTGAGCCTGTGGGTGTGACATGGGGATGGCAGTGGGGCATCGCCTGGCTGGCTCTCCTGGTTTTGGAACAGATTAATTGTGGGCTTTGAGAAGAATCCTTCCGCATCGCTGACTTGAAACCCTAACCCATATTCCTCCCACAGTGAAGCCAGTATCTCCTGTATGCAGAGTCCCGAAGGCTGTCCCTGTGGGCAAGACGGCCACGCTGCACTGCCAGGAGAGCGAGGGCTACCCCCGGCCCCACTACAGCTGGTACCGCAATGATGTGCCGCTGCCCACAGATTCCAGAGCCAATCCCAGATTTCGAAACTCCTCTTTTCTCTTAAACTCTGAAACAGGCACTCTGGTAAGATCTCTTCTCAGAGGTGAGGCTAGAAACATCTTTGTTGGGGAAGGGGTACCTCGTGTGGAAAGAGCACTGATTAAGAGACACAATGAACTTTGTAAGACAGGAGCCAAAACCCCATACTGTTGGAGAGTCTGGGAAAAATGAACCTCCCCTCCTTTTTATAAGCAAATAAGCGCTCAGGGAATAAATAGAGGAAAGGAAACCTGTAGAATAAAGGGGACTGTGGAGGTGTATGAAGTCAATGTAATGGGTTGGTGATGTCAGGGTCCTAATGTGAATAACCACCTGGAGAAATCAAGAGACCGATCAGTTGGGTTCCATCTGAAGAAGTCCTTATGTTTTAGAGATGCATGCTGGAGAATTTAATGGGGAAAACGTGTCTAGAATGGTCTTCAAAGTAACCCAGTGGAGGGAAGCCGGTGAGGGGAGAGGTGAAGTAAGATGGGTTGTGTGTGGAGGACAGGCTGCCCTCCGCAGCCTCTCCCCGGGCTCCACTGCAGCCAGGCCTCCCAATCCGTGGTGTATCTAACCGCACTCGTGGCGAGCTGGTTTGGATGGCATCCTCTGTACTGGTATCACCCAGGCGTTGCTGAGGGATAATCCTCTACCAGAGCCCCTTTCCCTGAAGCAACGCAAAGCTCAGCCTGCATCCTGGATGTTGCCAGGCCTTGAGATCTCCAAACCCTGAGCAGATTTCACTCTTCAGGAGCTCCTGGGTGAGACTGTTGGGAAAGGAATCGGGAGAGAGCGGGGATGGTGACTAGGAAGCCAAACGGGAACCCAGACAACTGAGCAGACCTCTTGCTCCGTTCTGGATTTAGCCCATTGGTCGGGCTCTTCCCTTCAGCCCAGGGGGTCCACTCCGTTGCTCGGACTCATGACTGTCGTTTCCGAAACAGGTTTTCAGTGCTGTTCACAAGGACGACTCTGGGCAGTATTACTGCATCGCTTCCAATGACGCAGGCTCGGCCAGATGTGAGGAGCAGCAGATGGAAGTCTGTGAGTTACTTCGTGAAAATATTTCATTTGCAGACTGTCAAGTGGATAGAACGTTTTTAATTTAATATTAGACCATCAGTTTAGACAAGTGGTCAGCTTTCTTCTGGAGATGACTGGAGTCCCCGAAACCCACTCGGGTACATTGAAAGGACAGATGAGAAAAGTCTGAGTAACAGCTAAATGACTAATAAGTGGGTACTTGCAATATGTTTATCTCCTCAAAATAGACTTTCTGGAGTCTTCTGATGTTGGGAACATAGTTACTCATATCACTTTTAACTGAATTTAATAAACTCCATTTTGGGGTGCCTGAGTGACTCAGTCAGTTAACGGTTTGACTCAGGCCTTGATCTCAGGGGAGTGTGAGCCCCATGTTGGGCTCACGCAGCATGTGGCACCTGCTTAAATAAACTCCAATTTTTTGATAATTGATAAGACTTATCAAGACATAACCTATGTAAGGTCTTCAGAAATTTAGTTGACCGTCATTTTGTGGTCAGCTGACACCCAGTTACCCTGTTCTGTGAGGACACCGTCCCTGGGGTCCTGGTTCTACAGGGGAGGTTTGAAGGCAGGATGGGGCGGATGGGGCATGTCACCATCATCACCACCTGGGGCGCCCCTTCCTCCTTCCTGCGCATAACTGACCCCAGAGCAGTGTTTTCCAAGCTTGCCAGATTGTGAGAAGTGTTGGATTGCAAGGCCCCACCCCAGGCGCTGGACTCTGTCCCCAGGGGCGGTCTGGGAACGTTTGCATGTTAAACTGTTTCCAGGGGATTCTTGTCATCTGTCAGATGCAGGAAACTGCTCCAGGGCAGGAGGAAGACTCTTGGGCTTTGCTGCACACCCACCGAATCTCTAGTGAGAGTGCTTGGGCCCCGACAGTGTAAAGTCAGAGTTTCAGTGTTTAATTGCACACTCACATTCGAAACCACCGTAGTAAGAGAAGTTTCTTGCTTAGGCGGATATATTGCTGCCTGTTTTCCACCGCATTATCCTCTCGTGAAGGCAACAGCCCCAGTGCCCCACACTGATGGGGACTGAGTACCTTTGTCAAGTATGTGGAAATGGGAGGAGGGCATCAAGGGGTTTCCTCCACGGGGCATGTAGATAGGAGGCCAGGCAGCTGGTAGTGAAAGGTCACGTTCCCACCTCAGATTTTTACTTTTCAGTCCTGTGCGAAACTAGTTCTTTTCCCCCAGATAACGCACAGCAGAGGGAATCCCTGGAAATTAGGAATTTTTTTCTTGGAGATTCCTGGCTCCTAATGGTCTTCATAAAATGGAACCATTTCCTCCATTAATAATATTTTCAGGGATTAGCCAGAGGACCATAAGCCTTCTATACGTGGCTAAGCCCCTTTTAATACAGGATTAAGTGTAACAGCATTTGCACTGTGGTGGTCCCAGTACTTTTTACAAGTGAGGGCAGGGATCCGGGGTCCTGTATGTTCTGGGCTGGAAAGACTGAAGTGGTGTCACTCCAGCCTCCCCGGGTGGGGGGGGCACGGGGGGGGGGGCTTGAGGGCGGAGCGGGGAGGAGGGAAGAGCAGGAAGGAGGGAGGCCTGGTGGGATCGGTGGCTGTGGTAAGACCGGATGGCATGTTCCTCCCCTCTCTCAACCCCTCTTCCCCCAGATGACCTGAACATTGGCGGCATCGTTGGCGGGATCCTGGTGGTTTTTGCCGTCCTGGCCCTGATAACGGTGGGCATCTGCTGCGCATACAGACGGGGTTACTTCGTCAATAATAAACAGAATGGCGAAAGGTGAGCCTGTCCTCTGTGCTGGGTGACGAAGCCCAGTGTACACGGGCGTCCCGCGAACTCATAGTCACTGAAGCCCTTTCTCCTCCTTTTTCAGTTACAAGAATCCAGGGAAGCCAGATGGCGTGAACTATATCAGGACAGATGAGGAGGTAAGGAGAGGAGTGAGGCAACAGAGCAGACGTCATTTAGGAAACCTAGAGATCGAGGTCTTTCCAGCAGAGCAGGTGACGGCTGTCCTTGGACAGTTTGTCCACACTCCTGGCGTTCGGTGTGCAGGTTCTCGTAGGTGTCCCTCTTGAAGAATGGTTGGTTTCATTTGATCTATTTTGCTTTAAGTTTTTTTTTTAGGGAAACGGCTCAGGCCCGACATCCACACTCCCTCTCCCCTCCCCCTCGGGGCCCTGGGCTGCCAGAGGGCGGGCGGCCGTGTCTAACCTGTGCTGCCATTGCAGGGCGACTTCAGACACAAGTCATCATTTGTCATCTGACTGTGACGGTGTGGCTGGGGGAGCACATGCAAATACCTCTACCAGAACCTCCTGGCAAGAGCGGCCCGGGAGCCAAGTGCACCCGGACAGAGCTAGACACTTGCGCAAAAGCTTTTTGTTTTGGCCAAAGTTGACCGCTACTCCTTTCTTACTTTTTTAACAAGCCACATGAATAAAAGAATTTTCCTCGAGATGGGCACGGTCATCACAAGGAAAAAACTGCATTTCCCTGAGGCTGACTCCCCATCTGTTTCTGGCCTCGCTCTTACCTGCGTGTTGGGGTGATTGGGAAGCTCTCCCTCACAGGCTGGGCTGCGCACCGCGGGCCTGTGAAGCCAGTTTGCCACTCACCTCCATCAGCCAGGGGGAGTCCGTATGTGGGACGACAGCCACGGGGCGCCGGCGTGGCAGGGCTGGGAGCACCACCCCCTGCGACACCCTCTGATGGCAGTTTGACCCAGTGAATCCAGAACAGAGGCATTTGATGCGATGATCTTGTTTTACAGCGGCCCACGCACAGCACTGCACTGATCCTTGAAGGTTTTGTTGATCAGTATTCTAGCATCCATCTTGGAAAATCTCTCTGCATCAGGATATTATAAAAGCAGCCCAACTGGGAAGGTAGATTGCTTGTTGGAAGAAGGGATCTTCTCACCTGTAGGAACCCTGTTTGTCCGGGGTGGGGTGAGGCAATGTTTCAGTATTTACAGAAAACCATCTTCGGTGAAATCTGAAATGGTACTGAAATAACGTTCTGCTTTTCTATGGGTGTTAATTTTATAAAATTTTACATTCTAAATTTTTGCTAAAGATGTATTTTGGTTATTGAAAAGGAAATTTCTATTTAAACTGTAAATATGTTGTCATACAGTGTTTAATAACCTATTTTTTTAAAAAAATTTCAACGTAAGGTAGTAATTTTCAAGCTACTAGTGTTAAATTGGAAAACACCAGTAATTAAAAAGTATCTTAACCCACCAAATCCTCTTGAGGCTTACTGGAACATTCCTTTTTCCCACATAAGCTTCAGCATTTTTCACAGGAGAACTTAGTCTATACACCAGACCAGTGTTACTTAGAAAACCTTTAAAACAATTCCAGTTGAATAATGTCAAGATCTGTTTGGATTTCTGTGAAAGAAACGGAAGGAGCTTCAGGTTGGCTTTGACCGGCCTCTTCTTAGAACACTCAAACTGCCCGTGCCCCGAGGGCGCCCAGAAGTGCTCGCATTAGGAGCCATGTCACTAGGCCCCCGAGCCCCGCGCCCTACGCTGTCGGTGCTGGCTGCTAACTCTGAAGGCCGGCCGGACCGTGCGCTGCACCCTTACTGGCCTGAGAGCGGCCGTGCGCGCGTCAGCTTTACGGTGTTGGCTAAGGCGGGCGCTCCAGCAAGGGCGGTGTCCTCCCTGTGTCCTCCCGGCATCCTCGGGACAGAGCTGTGGTTGTGGATGGCTCATGAGACGAAGCAGCCACCGCTATTTTCCTCTTACTCGTGTAGCTCAGAAGACTGTCCGGGGCCAAAGGCAGTGCTGAAAACCACAACCATGTTTTTTAAGAGAGTGAATTCCCCGGTTCTCTTTGCCACGAAGCAAGCACGGGAGGCACCACAGGTTGCTTCTCACCTCACGATAAACCATGCCGTGCTGGTGGCGAGGCCAGGCCCCGGAAGCGTCAGGCAGTGCAGGCAGGGCAGAGCGCCCGATGGCAAGGAAAGCAAAACGCCTCAATCAAAGGCCATGTTCTGATTTTTAAAGAAAGTCCTTACCTCCCCAAGACACTGCTGCTCACTGTGCTCACTGGGGGGACTCAGCAGCCTCCCTCAGAAGCCTTTGCTCTTCAAGAGCAGATGTTCTTCGCCTCAGATATGTTGATGACGTGCAGCGGTCTGAAGCAGCAGCTTCTCCGTGCCTCAGGCTCCACTGTGTGCTTCAAGGATTGGTTTTATGTAGAAGGATGTCGTCCTCTTGGGATTCAACTTCCAGTGTCTTTATTTTTTATACTTCAAGGTTTTTGTTTTGTTTTGTTTTTAATTGAATACTTGAGACTTATGTTGATTTTTCTTCTTTAAGTTCTGTGAATACTCTGCCACGGGGTGTTTGGCAGCAGTGGGCAACTCTTCATAACTGCTTAATGGAACTCCTGTCCTTTTGCAGTGGTGTCTTGACTGCTTACACTTGAGACTGTCCCTCTGTGTTCACCCCTCTTGGTAGGAAGGGATAGTGTCCCTGTTCTCTAGTTGTTGGGGAGCAACCCTGGCTGCCATCCTGGTAGGACAGCCTTACCGCCTCCCTTACGACCTAACCCCTCCTATCCTAGTGCCGTGGGAACAGGGTCTACGGAGAGAAGGGGGTACGGAGTCTGGGAAGTAGTTGCCTAAAAGTAGACAGAAAAGGAACATTCGTGTGTTTCTAAGATGTGAATGTGACTGAAGACTCGAAGCCTCCACAAGGCTCTTGTGGCCTCTGGTGTGGCTGTGGCTGTACATAGACGTTGCAGACTTGTACTAACACACCTATAAGTTGGTATTTGTTAAACCTCATTTATAAAAGCTTTTAAAAAAAAAATCAACTTTGCCTCGTTACTTCTCTTCCTTATGTGCTCCATGTTGGGTCTGCCTTTTTCCTAGCATTTTGTTAGGCAAGTGCGCCTAAAATGGCACCACCCCAGGTGTGGAGAGAGACTGCCGTCAGTTACCTCCCACTTGTCTGGAGATACGGGTCTATGCTCAAGAGCAGCTCCGTGACGCTCTGCCAACAGCAGGTCCACGCGCGTCACCGTTCACATACGGAGAACTGCGGGATAGAGCAGTGCCAGTCCACCCTCAGATCCCACCGCCGTACTTCCGCTAGACATCCACGCAGTGACCCTGTACTTCGCTCTGTAGTACTGGGACTCAACGGGGAACTGACTGGACTTTTCCTGGCCACCCTTGGACAGAACACGCATGCACGTGTGTTCAGGTCGCCAAAGCCATCCCCCGTGGTGGGAGCAGGCTGTCCAGCACCAGCACATGGCCCCTGAAGGTGGGCTGGCAGGAGCAGGCCCGCATTTCCCTGAGGAGGACGTGTACTGCTGCTGGGGGCAGACGGCTCCTGTCCGGGGCCAGAGGCGGAGGGACAGATGGGCTGAACCTTAACTACAGTTATTTTGTTTTTCCCCCTAAAAGGAAAGTTGGGTTTTAAAAATTTTTTTTTTTTTTAAAGCAACAGACATATATTTCTAACAGTTCTTGAGGCTGGGAGCGTTTTATCATTCTTAAACACTTAATGTAAATTAAAATGACTACCAGTAAAAGCCCTGTTCTAAAAATAGAAATAGTCTTTTGAGTACCAGAAGGGTGTATTTATGCTTAACCTTTATTATTCCATTTTAGAAAGCTGTACACTTTAAAAACTTCCGATTTATAAATAAGAATAAAAAAATAATTACAATCAAAACCCCATCATCAGGTACAGGAAGCTAAATACTGGGGGGAATTCCGACCAGAGAGCAGAGGCCTGATGTATACGAAAGCAAGCCGATCTGCTACCTTCCTTAAAGACCCGACTATGGTTTGTCAGGATGAACCCAACTACCTTCAAATGCAGTAAAGTTAGGATATTAAATAGCTAAGGCATTTCTCTATTATTTTACATTTTTTTTCTTTTTCCCACACGTTGCATGAACAGAAATGTAGAAGCTTGGCCAGCCACACAGGTGCACGCTTAGAGTGCTGGGGTCGTAAGAAGAACCTGTTACCTCGCGGTCAATGCCTCCCTCTCCCTGGGGGTGAGGGAGACCACGCGTCCTCGGAACTCTTGCCTCCCGGATGCCCCGGAACGCAGTCTCAGTTGGCGGTTTTCAGGGGGATCTTGCGGAGTGACCTCCTGCTGGGGGCTGGGTTATCTTTATTTCTGGGGGACTTCACGTTCCACTGCTGAGGCTGGGGAGGCCTGGGGAAAGGAAAGGAAGGACACAATCCTTCTGGAACTAAAGATAAAACCCTGACAGAAACATTTACCTCAAAGGAACTCTTGGTAAACTTACGGTTTATCAGGAAGCGATAAACATAAAATGTCATTTCCTTGACACTGGGCCTCAATTTTCTCTGAAAGGGAGTCAGACACAAATTCAGATTTCCCAGAACTCAAAAGGTGGCTAATTAGCATCTTGACAGGAAGGGAACTTGCCTTTGACTGAGGGCGTCTGCGGCGTGCCTATGTAGCTGACTCCTGCTCCGAATGTCACGTCATTGATGGTCCCTGGGCAAATACGGGGAAAACACTGTCAAGGAAAAGGAAAAGCCAGCAGGGGACAGGCCTGTAAGCAGTCCCCTGGGCAAGGCCAGTCACGGAGGGTCCGGTTTACTCAGTCACTTGCCCCGATCACCACGCATCGGCAGATCCCGACCAGAGGCCCTCTCAGACCTCAACTTGACCTTTGTACGGGGCTCGAGGTTGGACCCTGCCCTCCTGGACCTCAATCCCCCGCGTGGCTGCCTGGCTCCCTTCTCCCAGGACCCTCGCCGGCTCCCAGGACGCCTCGCGCCCCCCCCCCCCCCCCCGCGTCTCTCCTGGCTCTCGGTATCTCCAGCAGGCTAGTGACCCCCTACTCTGCCCAGCTCCCACCTGTCCCGAGTCCTCACTTGCGCTCCTCCGCAAGTTCCTTCTGAACGTCTGTCCTGTCGCTGGGATGCCCAGACCGTGAGGCATGAGAGGCCACTTCACACCTGGTCGGAACTGCGGATGTCCTGGCTCCTCCTCCTGTTGCCCCTCCCCCTCTCGCCCTGCCTTAGCTCCGTGGCTGCCCCACCCCCACCCCCCAGGGCCTCCGCTTCTTCCGGTTCGCCCCCAGGAGGCCTGGAGCAGAGTGGAGGCAGAGACGGGACTCAGACTTGAACTCTGGCTTGGGGGCTTCCGAGCAGCGGGATCGACTCCAGAAACCTCATCTCCAAGATGGGTTCACGTGTGCCAGCCTCAGGGGACTCGTAGGGACTGACATTGTTTGGTCCTTAACGCAGCGCTCGACACAGAGGGGCTGCGTAAAGGTTACAGCTGCGGGGACTTAGCAGCTGTGCTCCCTCCGTCACCGGGGCTTACAGATGCAGGAGGCATAGGGTCCTGGCGGCTCAGGGTCCCCAGCGCCCCCCGCCCCCAGGCGGCCCCAGCCGCCTGCTTGAGCACACGCTGCAGGCCACTGCCACAGGTCCGACTGTCGCTGCTCCTCCTGGCTCCCACCCGTGCAGGCACGTCCCTCACCGACGGCCATGCCTGTCCTGAGACTTGGGCAGTGACACGTCTCCCAGGACTAACTCCCTGTGTCCCATCCTTTCTGCAGGAGCTACCACCATGTCAGCGCAGAGCGCGGGCTCAGCAGCTGGCTGCCTGCTGCCCTGTCAGAGGGCCCGGGATGTACGCTTCCACCCCACCCCGCAGCCTTCGTAGCAGCACCTTCTTAGCAGTACTTATGCACTCTCTCTAGTCTGTTCTGACGTTCACCGGTGCAGTGCCGGCGGAGTGCCTGTGAACTACCTGCGCTGTGCTGAGGGAGACCCGTACCTGCCCCGCGCTGCCCCTCGAACCGCAATGTGCTCACTCCGCTCCTGGGGGCCTCCCTGGGCTGCAGTCCTAGCTCCCCTTACGAATGTGCACATTTTCTTTCCAGTTTGGAAGCCTGGGCACATCCAGGTAATCGGTCTCCAGCCTTGCAGAGGCAGCTATGTAGCGACTCTCAGGTCCCGCGTGCTCTGTGAACGCTTAGAACCAAGGGCAGGAGTGTTTCTGGTGCCCGAGTGACAGCACTAAGAGGGAGCAGCTGAACGCTGCACGGGTTCGCAGGGACGACGCAGCCCTGGGCATCACTCACTCCCATCAGCCAAGCCACTGTGTTCATAGCTGACTACCACCAGTGTGCCAGAGCCGTGGGCCTGGCTGGCAGTCTTCCTCCCGCCTCTGTGGAGCTCAGACCACTTCCTGATAGTCACCCCCCAACAGCTGTCCACATGTGTGTGCACAAACCAGACACAGCAGAACTGAGTGTTTCTACACAATCTGATCGTTCTCCCAGGAAGCCGAGCTACCGGGAGGCCCTTTTTCAGGCGTTCCTTCCTGGTTCACACTAAGGAAAGATGGCCACAGACTTTACATTCAAGAGCCTAGAGAAAGAAAAAGCACTCTGTTGACCTGGGGACACCCAAGGGTCGTGTCTTCAGTACAAAGAGCTACCGCACACAAATCCAAGCAGTGTTATGCAGCACAGCAGGCTTCAGTGCTGAGGAACCCGGGCTGCTAGGAAACCAACCAAAGACTGGAATCAGGGTCTCCTGGGGATGAGCAAAGCTAAAATGAGATGCGTTCTCCCCATTTCTGCAGCATATGGCTCCTAACGCCAAAATAGAAGCACTTGGTTCCTCTGAACCAGGAACAAAGAACATACAGAAAATTTGTTTCCAAGAGGCTGAGTTTTTCACATATATAACATTACACCTGTTCAGTACACAGGAACTCCAAATTACTGCTTTTCATGACAAAAGCAGTCACGATTCAGCGTCACCTACAGAGGTGGGGTAGGAGTTCTGTTCATCCGTTAATCTCCCTTAAAAGAAGGACTTAAGGAAATTCCCTATAGCTCGGTAAATACTAACAGATCACAGCATCGCAGGTCACAGAACTACCCAGCAAGTAACCAGAACACACTAGGTGCTCAATAAATTTGTTCTGACTGAACGTACAACTAGACCAACAGCTTGCTCCTGGGTTGCACCTTTGCCAAAAAGAGTATTTCATGTGCTCTCAGCCTGCAGCCATGCAAGGGCAGCACTATGGGCACTAAGGCTGTGCCGTCAAGGGACCGGCCCTCAGGCCCCAGCCCACCACTCGTCCCTACACTTAACTGGCCAACATCGGTTTCGCTCCTCCCGCGTGCCAGGCACTGTGGCAGGCCTGGGGGCTACGGTGAAGAGCAGAACAACTTATACACTAACTGCAAGCAAGATGAAGTACAGCTGGCCCTGAACACCGTGGGGGGTGGAGGGGCCAGCCCCCACCAGTCAAAAATCTGCATGTAACTTCTAACTCCCCTCAAAGTTAACTACTAATAGCCAGCAGCTACCAACGGCAGCTGGCCAGGAGGAAGCCGGCCACTGCCCACTCTGTAGGTTACATGTACCACACGCTGTTCCGACCATAAAGTGAGCCAGAGAACAGAAACGTTATTGACATGATCACAAGGAAGAGAGATTCGTGGTGCTGCACTGTAAACAATCTGCACACGCGTAGGCCAGTCCGCTGTATCTGGAGGTGTGGCGAGTACAGCTGAGGAGGTCGGAGTGCCAGGAGGGAGGCACCTCGTCTCACCTCAAGGGTCAGGGAAGAGCTTCAGGGAGGGCGAAGCTGTGGCCACCAGGGAAGGGGAAGTTCTAGGTGAGGACGTGGCGTGTGAATGCCCCCTGTCAGCCAGGAGGGGGTATGGCCCCGAGAACCCCACCAGGGGCTGGTGTGCAGAGGAGGGGGAGGCACAGGGAGACAGGCCGGGCAGGGCTGTACTCCAGACTGTGCACAGTAAGAAGCTATAAAACAAGGTAATGGGGA